GGAAAAATATTATCCATGTAGAGACACTGAGTGAAATGTATTGAAATTAAAAAATTGTTGCACAACTAAGAGCCCGGCATGACCAGCTGGTTAGGGCGCTCGACTCGCAATCTGAGGGTCGCGGGTTCGAATCCCCCTCACACCAAACATGCTCGCCCTTTCAGCCGTGGGAGCGTTATAATGTGATGGTCAATCCCACTATTCGTTGATAAAAGAGTAGCCCAAGAGTTGGCAGTGGGTGGTGATGACTAGTTGCCTTCCCTCTAGTCTTACACTGCTAAATTAGGGACGGCTAGCGCAGATAGCCCTCGTGTAGCTTTGCGCGAAATTCAAAACAAACAAACACAGATATAACTATCTATAAAAATATTGTAGTGTAAATTAACAACTATATTTATATTGAAAGCGAAATTGTCGAAATATTTCTCTACCGTTCACTGCTGATGGAGTCCCAATACTCTAGCAAATATTAATTGGACTAATTACAATAGTGATGGTGTTTTTATGTTTTGTGTGTGTGTGTGTTTCTTATATTATTAGAAATCTGTACCATAAAAAGTCATGAACCCATAAAATATTTGAATTATAACCTGTTTAAAAATGTGTTTAAAAAGTTGACATCTCATCGGTAACTCTAGGGTTAAGAATGATTTGTTTCTTTATAATTTTCGCGCATAGCTACATCCCTAATTCTGAACCCATAGACTAGAGGAAAATCAGCTAGTGAATAGCACTCACCGTCAAGTACTGAGCTACTTTTGTCTGACCGAATACTGAGATTTGGCCGTCACTCTTATAACGCACCCACAACCCCAATATGCCTAGAGTGTTTTTTGCGACAACGAGACGCGAACTTGAAGCCTCAGATTCACAGTCCACCATGTTAACTACTAGACTACGTCCAATTTTGTTAAAAATGGCACCTTTAGTTTGACGAATGATCTCATGGTCATTGTTACTAGTTTATAAACAAAACACATCAGAAACAGCAGAGTATGTTTGTTTATTTTCAATGTAATTTACAGTTAAAAATCATAATTATTTTATAGTTATGTAAAAACTTACATATATTGTATAATACCCTGCTACACTTTGCTATTGTTGTTTTTAAGTTTAGATAAACAAGCAATACATCAGCAAACTTTTTATTTGTTTCTTTAATTTAGATAATTAATGTATGTTTTACATTTTAACGTTTCATATTATTACGCTGTTTTTGTTTTGTTGTTGTTTTTCAAAATGAAGGTTAAGACATTTATACACATGGGAATAGATGGATATCTTTTTATGACAGTATTTATTAGGGGTTAATTTCATTCTTACCAGAACTGGCTGTGAATTTAAAATGTTAGCAATTATTAATAATTATGTAAAACATTCACTAGGATTTCATCTCAGATTTGAATTGGAAAATAATATTAAACTGAACACATCAACCAAAAGACCTACTAACTTTCACACATGATGGTTTCAACGAAGAATTATCTGTTCAACAGCGCCTTAGGTCCACATGGGTTAAACAATCAGATCAGAGGCTCTTAGGGTTTGGGTATTGCTCTTCCTAATTTTTTAACTACTGTTAACAGTACTCGTCACCATAAAGGCCTTAAACAGCTCTTTGACAGGAATGATGAGACTAACAGCCATCTTTACAAATAACAGTAGCCCCCAATGGCTCAGCGATAAGTCTGGAGACTTATAACATTGTAATCCGTGTTGCGATACCTATGGTGGACACAGCACAAATAGCTCATGGTGTAGCTTCGTGCTTAATAACCAACAAACAAATCAACAAAAACGCTTCTACAGATGAAAGTGATGAACGTGCTCAGATGCAACACGTTTCGAGACCTGGGACCTTTGGCTCGCATCCCAACACGTTAATCACTAAGCCATGTCCTGCTCAAATATTATATAAGATAAGTTAAGACATGGTAGTTACTGTGAACATTTTTACCAGAGCTTTCAAGAAACTAATGTTTACGCTTGAAGTACGACAAATGTAATCTTTCTCCACAAATTTCGTGCAGTTAGCTCCGTTAGCTCAGAGTTAATTCAGCATTGTAAAGCAAATCATGTAGTTTGGTGTTATTGTGTAACAGAAACTATTTAATTTCACACGTTTGTTTTCTATGTTATTTAATACCTTTGCTTGAAACCAAGAATACTCGAAACTACACAAAAGATACGTAAATTTATTCTTATCTAACAATTTTCATAAATTGACTTTGAGCTTCGCTTCCATGCAGTATCTAAAATATGGCTCAAACTTTCAACGTCACCCAGATTTTACTATTAAACAATAATATTTCGATTTTATTGATTTTAATCTATATCTTTCTCTTCACAGTTTCTTGTACTTGTAGTCTGACAAAAGGAGTTATTGAAGAAAGTTTCGTCAGAACAAGTAGAGCAACAGATGGCACTACTGTCCAAACAATGTCTGACGGTAAAGTTATTGTTACTGCCATTGTTAACCAAAAGGGAGAGCTAATAGATTGTAATGTTTTGCGAGAAAACGCCACAGCTGCCAAAGAACTTTTCAAAGAGGTGCGATATAAAAGTAACACTACATATTCGACAATATTATTGCAATTATCACAGGAGTTTTAAGGTGTTTTTAAGTTTGCAAATATCCTAACTGAAACATTGAAATCAGCAAGAAATTTCTAATTAATTGCACTTTTATTTCTCATAAGAATAACTCAATGTTTAAAATAAGAAAAATCATGTTAAGAAAATTTATTAAAAGGAAAATATCGAGAAATCCTAATGGTAAAATAAAAAAAAGGAATATAATTAAATGAAATAGTTTAATAGAAAAATAATTTAAAAGTTAATGAAACTTTGTTATAACAGAATGTATATATATATATATATGTACTTTTCGGGAGTAACGATATGATTTTTTTCTTATGAAATTTGAAATTAAAGTACGCTTTATTGTTAGAATTTCTAATAAGCAACATTGTTCAATCTCAACATGAAGAATATAAATGATCTTATTAATTAGGACAGCTCTTAATTTCTAATAGATTCTTTTTCCATTTCCTTCGTATTATATAACAATAAACTAGCCCATAAATACTGAGTATAAAGTTGAATTTGTTATTGATTACAGCCTTTCTATTATAGGCCGTCAATGCTGAACGTAATGAAAAGACAGAATTTAAGATGGTCGAATTTGACGTTAGAAAATTAGGTCGAATATGTCGCAAGTTTAAACGAGACATGGTAAATATATACATTTAATTCTTCGTAATGATTTACAATTGAGTTTATTCAATACAATGTTTATTTATGGAATTTATTTATTATTGCCTTTATACCTAGATTGTTTGTTTATTGTCGAGGACACAGCTACACAATGGGCTACCTGTGCTGTCGTACCCCAACTTTTAACGTTGTAAGCCCTCAAGCTTACCTTACTAAAGCCACCAGGAAACTTACCACGTGCTTGTATGACTTTCAATAAATGCACAAATATTCAAATGCTTTTCAACTACAGTTTAATAAATAAACAACATCATCAAAAGACACGAGAAAACAACTATTATATAGTTATTTAGATAGATAGATATTTTTTTCTTTTGTTAGCTTTTAAAACGGCCTACTGAACTAACAGAAGAAGATAAAAAGATTCGGGACAGGATTTCTTTGGACAAAGCTGTTGATGGTAAGGAAACTAAGTTCGCGAAAAACTGGCAGTAGTGGAACACAATTCTATAAATTTAGTTTTCGTAGACTGAGTTACAAGAAGACATAACCTAGAATGTTAAACATTTACAAAATGAAAAGGCAGTTGCCACCTTCACTCTAAACGGACTTACCTGGAACTGATGTATTACATTTCTGGAGGTTCATACAGCATTGATCCAGTATCTTCTTTTCTCCAAGGTTTTGATAAGTAGGTTTACGGCCCTGTCGGATACACCACCTAGTGCCTGAACAACACGTAAACAATATTTACAAGTCAAACTAATTTTAATTGTATTATGTAGATAAGTCATAATACAAAAAGAACAATTTGAAAGATAGGAATTAAATTTCATGTAAAGTTTCTGGTTAGTTTTATAAGTTCACTAGAAAACCCTAGTAATTAATTGTAGTACAAAAAATAAAAGTTTTTCGAGTTTCTGTTTGGTTTCCTTACAAGGAAAAAAACTGGTGATATAGGTTCGCGTGTTGCATTACTGGTGATTAGCTACGTGTTACATTACTGATGATCTAGCTTTATGTGTTACATTCCTGGTAATCTAACCTATTTTTTTGTTGTCGTTTTTTTTGTTTTGAAGTAAATTGCGTTAGTTTTGATGAAAAAGAAGTGAATTGGGAGTTAGGTTTTTTACCAAATAGCTGCCAGTATTTAACAGTGTGCTGTTGCAGCGAGATGAATTTCCATAAGTAAGAAAAAATTATTTTGTTGTTGACAAAATAAGTAAATGCGATATGAGATATGCAGTAAGGTGTAAAAAAACCGTAAACACTGCTACAAAAAATTACTACTTAATTTTTATAATTTGTTTTTGTAGGTTTTACCCATAAAAACCGATTTTTCAACCATTTGCCATGGCCTGTGCCGGGATGTGATTGTGTCAATGTCTTTCAAGAATGTCTGAAACAAGAGGGGAGCGAAGAAGCTGTCCATTTTAGCCAGCGGCTATTAAAGTCCTTGGCCCACTCTTGTGTCCGATGGGAAGTGAAGGATGATTGTATAGAGTACTCCAAATGGCTAGACCGCTGCACGCGTTGGGAAAAGCGGAATACACCAGTGATAAGCAAAGTTTTTGTACAATAAGCACTTTGTGTAGTGAATCATATTACTGAATGTACTTTTTAAATGGAACTTGGAATAATGTATTTTATAAAAACTTTCTCCAACGTACGAATGTATTGAGGAAAATGTAAATTTATCTTTTTTTCTTAAGTTAAGGATATGTTCTTGATCTTTTAAAGCTACTTCTTTCTTCAAGAAAAAATAAAATACACATTCTTAATAAATAGACTGAAAGAAATATTAATTAACAGGACATAAAAGAGAAATACATATTAATTGCACCTGAAAATAAAAAAGTTAATTTATATAACTATAAAATTAAACAATGTTGAGAAAAGGCGTAAGTTTTGTTTCCCATGTCAGTGACATATATCTGTACTAACGTATTGTTACGCCTCCAGTCGTTAGTTAATTTTCCGTAAATTCGTTCCGACGAAACTTTAGCGACACAAGTCCTTTCTTAAATAAAACTGGTTTATGCTTTCTGAATATAACTTTGCGATACACTTAATTTCAACAGTCGCGCTATAATAAACGTCTCACGTGCTC